ATAATAAAATGGAAATGGATCAAAGATCTAAATATTAAAACAGAAACACTGAATCTTCTGGAAGAGAGAATAGGTAGAACTCTCTAAGACATTGGCATAGGCAAAGATTTCATGAACAAAACCCTGATCACCTGGGAAATACTACGAAGAATCAACAACTGGGATGTCATCCTGTTAAAAAGCTTTTGCACAGCAAAAGAAATTACCAATTGACTGAAAAGGAAACACAAGAGTAGGAAAAATACTTAGCCAGTTGTCCCTCAGGCAAAGGACTAATATCTATTTTGGGGGGCATCAGGAATCAAACCCAGGACCTTCCAGTTGCCACGCAGGCACTCATGCCACTGAGCTACATCCCCAACCCCAGGATTAATATCTAGAACATATAACTAAATGAAAAACATCAGACCCCAAATTTAAAGACCCAATCTAAAAATGGGCATGTAAGGGTCAGGGAGATGGCTCAGGGGAATAAGCACTTGCCTGGCAAGCACAAGGTCCTGAGTTCAATCCCTGGTACCACAAAAAAAATAAAATAAAATTAATAAAAATGGGCATGTGAGATGAATATACACTTTTCAGAGGACCAAATACAAATGGCAAATAAATATATGAAAAAATGTTGAATATCTCATTTGAGAGATGCAATTTAAAACAACTCTGAAAATCCATCTCACACCAGAAAGAATGGCTATCATTAAGAAATCAACCAGTAACAAATGCTGGAAGGGCTGTAGGAAAAAGCAACCTTCCTCCACTGTTGGGAAGAGTGTAGACTGGTGCCAGCACTCTGGAAGTCAGTGTGAGGATTCCTCAAAACACTGGGCACAGAGGTCCCAGTTTGACTGAGCTATTCCCCTTCTGGGTATCTTCCTGGAAGAATTAAAAATATCACATCACACTGTACCCATGTTTATATCAGTACAGTCTGTGATAGATAAATTTTGGAAACAACCAGATGCCCATCAGCTGAGAAGTAGGTTTTTAAAATGTGGGTTTTAATGTAATGGTGTACTACTCAGCCATAAAGAAGGATAAACTTGAGACATTTCTAGGATGCACCTTGAGACCATACTCTTAAGTGAAATAAATGGACACATATGTGTAAAAATCACATTGTTTCTCTGGTGTGAGAAACCAAAACTGTAAGTAAGAACCAAAGTGTGTAAAAGGTATCATGAAATAGGAAGAAATTGTTCAAAAGAAAAGGGAACTAGAGAGGGGTGAAAAGGAAAGAAAGAAAGGAGGGAAGGGAAATTTTTTTAAATGATAAAATGGAAACAAAGTTTTGTGGCGAGGAGTGGAAGAAGGGTTGGAGGCGAAGAGAATGGGGAAAAAAGAACAATCAAGATATATCACATACAGGTACAAATTCCCTATGATGAATATGAGAATTATGTCTATCTAAGTTGTACCAATAAACTTAATATTTTAAAAAGCACTTTAATCACCTTCCCAACAGACAGCATTTCAACTCTCACCCCACCCTGATTCCTTTTCTTTCCCAATACTGATTTATAGCCTCAGCAGATATTCTTGAGATAATTCTGCATAGTAAATCATCTCATGTATTGCCCAAGCACTTTGACTGAGCTCATAGACTGTTTGTTATATAACTCTCGACTCTGTAAATATCACTGGGGGAGAGGTGTTTCACACTGTTTCTCTGGTGTGAGAAATCAAAAGTATAAGAACCAAAGTGTGTAATATGTATTGTGAAATAGGAAGAAAGTGTTCAAAAGAAAGGAAAACTAGAGAGGGGTGAAAAGGAAAGAGAGGAAGGCGTCTTGGGGGGACGGGCGCTACTATCAGGATCTCCTTTCCCATTACATTAGTAGTGTGGCCTGTGGTAGTGAGCCTGTGGCCCTCATGCACAGCAGGCTGCTTGTGTCATTGAAAGCTCTGAAAGGTTCACCATCACTGGTACGGGGGATTAATATCATGGATGCAATTATAATAAAAGCCTCTGAAAAGAGAGTCACAATGAGACAACCACACAGGATGCAAAAGTGACCCCCAAACAATATTATGAGGCAAAATAAGAGAGCGGTGTTTTCAAATTGTTTGCCCCTACTAAGGACAACTGGCCATGAGCTACCATACAAACAGCTACGCACAGTCTACCCCCTCCCACACGCATTCATAAGACACTGTGCTGGCCTCCATACTCCTAGGCACTCACAGGGCTCAGATGTCCTAGGTGCACAAGTCCCCCTAACCACTCTGCAAAATGAACCTCTCAACATGTGCCGCAGGTTTCCCCTAAGTCTATGCACGCAGATGGGAAGGTTGCACGTCTTGTTACACAGGTTAGTTTAGATCACACAATTCTACTTCAGTTATATCATTATGTCCTCCTGTCCACTCTGCAGTCCAAATGATAGCTGCATCAGCCTTTCCCGCGGCGAAGGCTATACCAGCATGTGAGTTAAGGTTAACAGCCTAGCTGCCTGGGAAGGTGAGTTCCTGCCTTCCTTTAGAAGGTTAAAATACTGGTTTGTCTAGAAAGAAAGGAGAAAAATGGTGTGGGAAAGAGCCCTGCCAGACTCCCAAGGGCAGCTTCTCGCTTCTCACGGGTCTTTCTAAAGCCAAGAGCAACTTGAAAGTACAAGGCTCATCATTCTCTTTTCATTTGCTTCTCTTCTTCCCCACCACACCTGCAGAGCTGGGGATAAGCCCAGGGCTTTGCACATGCTCGGCCACCGAGCTACCCTCCAGCCCTTTGTTTATTCTTGCATCACAAGTGAGCCTCATTTCTCCTTTCTCTGAGGACCACAACATAAAATACGCTACAGAAACTAAAATCCACTCACTGACCCACCTTAGAGCAGCCACCCCACAGAAAACGTGATAGCATCTCATTCTAAAGGGCTGCCAATTAAGCCAGCCCCTCTCTGAGTAAGAACCAGTTTTCTTCTAAGTTCAAATAATAGCTCACAAAACACAAAGCCATGGCTTACCACGAAGAAGGCACTCAGGAGAAACAAGGCACCACGATCTCTCTGCTGTCACTCCCACACTCAACTAAAGAACTTCTACCAGCATGCTGGGTCAGCCTCAAAGCAACCACATGCGTGTGTGCATTCGTGCCTTCTGAGGTAGCTGCAGAGGCACAAACAGGAACCGCTACATCTAGGTTCTCATTTCAGTCATCTGGCCTATTACCCAATTTTTGTTTGTTTATATTTTCACTCTAAAAAGAGGCACTGAATTGGACTTACCAAAGTGAGACTCTCATCCTAGACCACTGCAGCTGTCCTCTGCACTCTAAATTACAAGCTCAGTGAGGGATGGACCTGGGTGGTTGTGTAAGTTAGAGCTCACTAAAGGAACAGCTATATGGTGGGCCTGTACTGGCTGTGTGCAGTCGGATGAGGAAGAACATAGAGGGGCAGTCTGGACACCAGAGAGCTGGAGATCCAAGGAAAAGTTGAAGCCCTGGAGCACACTGCTGAGTCCCATGTGAGGCCCCCATCAGGAGGCCTAAGGGGGCACTAGAATTGCGGAATCAGATGTTCAAAGGCAAAGGAAAAACAGGAGCTCTTCTAAAGAGCAGAAATAAGACTTACTTCTTCCTTCCCTTTTTATTTATCCCCAACTACAAGTCTTTCTTTGGTGCACTGTACCCAGGTGGGTCTTCCAAGTCCATCATCGGAACTGTGCTAAATCAGTCTGCTAAGCATTTCTTCTTCAAGTTGACACTCAAGTTAACTAGTCTACTCCTTGTCAACTTGACCATCAGACACATTCGGTTTTTTTAAGGATTTTTTTTTTTTTTTTTTTCTCTGAATGGCTTCAGGGCAGGTTTGGCTGGCTTGAGTTGTGGGGATCAAACCACAGCAACCTGAGGCTGACTGCTTTGTTGAAGCAGCCACTTAAAGAGCTGAGCTAAGGGGCAGACCCCCTACATTCGTTTTTTGAGACAGTGTCTGCTATGCAGTTCAGGCTGGCCTTGTGCACACTTTTTGTAGCCCCCAGGCTGCTCTCGAAATCACAGCAATCCTCCTGTCTCAACCTCCCAAGTCCTGGGTCTGGGCCCCACTCAGTGTGCACAACCTGGAATCAAATTCAGGTCCTTGTGTTTGCCAGGTAGGTGGTTATGCCTCTGAGCTATCTCCCCAGCCCCAGACACATTCTCTTAAGCTAACCCTTTCTTATTCAGGTCTACACTGCAGTTAACTAGTCTACCCTTATCAACTTGACAAATAGATACAATTTCTTAAGCCATACTTAGTCTCCAGATACAACAGCAAGTTCATAATTATGCCTAACATGGTACAATTATCCTGTAGAAATATGGAAGTGCACTGATTCCCTCCCCAAAATAGAAGGAAAAGGTTTTCTTTTGGTGGTGCTCATGCCTGCCATTTCATTACTTAAACATTATACTATAGGCTTAACAATACAAAAGAACCAATACTAAGTCTACTGACATTATCATAGAAAATAAACATGCCTGCTTAATATATGTGTATATATGCACAAAAATATTAACAAAATAGGAAAAAGCAATTATAATTATAATCCTTGTTTCTATAACTAGTCGCATGGCTGTAGTTGGTGTTTATTCATTTATTTTTGTATTTTTTAGGAAAGAGTCTACAGGGTGTTCAGGGTTTCACTAGTAGATCAGACTCATAGTGATTCACCTGTTTACAACCTCCTAAGAGCTGGGATTACAGACGTGCACCACCACACTCAGTCTCAATTGCCATCTCAGCGTACCCCAGGGGCAGGGCCAGCACAGCAGGCCCAGGGATCAAACCCCCGGCCCCTGGGCCTGCTTGCAGGCGCTTTAATCTGCTGAGCTATTTGGCCAGTCCCTGTAGTTGGTATTTATGGCTACCTTCTTCTACTATCCATTCTATATTCCTTTGGCCTTCAGCAAGCACCTCAGTGGGTATTGGGTTTTTCCCTAGTGGTGAGACCCATAGCTTCATTTTTAAAGGTTCTGGGCCATTTGTCATCCTGCCTGATTGGATTGGTATAGGTCAACTGGGTTTCCCATTGACCTTAAAACATGGCATGGTAACACTGGGAGGCATGCCAAGGGATCTTCTACATTCAAAGTATATCTTTCCTTTCCTTCATTGAGGAATAGCAATCCATTTTTCCCTGATAGTCTAGGTCAATCACCTTGCCAACACTATAAATTTCTTTTTTAGCTTCCCTTCTCTGAAATTAAGCCTTCAAGGCCAACAGAGAATAAGGCTGCAGGAAAAGGAAACAAAAATTTGCTAATGGATCACTAAGAGTAGCAGTGAGTGGTACCATTCCCAGCTCCATCCCTTGATTCCTGGACCCATGAATCCTAGCTATGGAAGACCCAGACCATAGAGTGGATGCTGATTCATAGTATACAGAGTCTTTGAAGAACCTTACCCCATCCCTAAAAGGTGCACCCAGCTGGTGCTATATCTTCAAAAGGCCATTCTGCCTTTCTACCAATTTCGCTGCCTCGGGGCAATGAGGAATATGGTAATGCCAGTGAATTCCATGAGCGTGAGCCCACTGCCTCACTTCTTTAGCTGTGAAATATGTTCCTAGGTCAGAATCAATGTTATGTGGAATACCATGTGTAGTGGTTGATACATTGTGTCAATTTGAAAAGTTTAGAAGCTTCATTCAGCAAGGAGACAGGGTTCTTATTTTGTAAACATTCTCATCCTGTACAAGAGGAGGGCATGGACAGTGTATAAGTTCTACACTCTCTACCCCCAGGGTAGCCTGCTTATAATACAAGGAAAGGAGAAAGGCAGTTGCTGTGGCTCTCCACTTTGCTCTTTGCTGTTTTCCACCACCAGGAACATTGCTGCTCTTTGTGATGTGCCACTCTGCCTTCGAGCCAGTTGAGTAGGGACTGAATCCTCCACTAACTGTGAGCTGAATAAACCTTTCTTTAAAAAATTTTTATTTATTTACTTACTTATTTGGTACATGGTCTCACTATGCAGCTTGGACTCCTAGTGATTCTCTTGTCTCAACCTCCCAGTGCTGGGATTACAGGTGTGTACCACCACACCTGGTTTCGGGAGCCAGCACGGGGCCAGCACAGCATGTGGTACCAGGGAACAAACCCTGGTCCTTGAGTTTGCCAGGCAGGCACTTAGACCACTGAGCTATCTCCTCAGCAAATTAACTTTTCCTTCCTTAATTTTAGATGTTAGGTATTTTGTCCCAGCAATGAGTAAAATCACAATAGCTAAGGCATTCTGTAAATCTACAGACAATAGCTTTACATTATATATGGGGAAGGCAAAACCATACCCAGAATAAGTGTCCATGCCAGTAAAGACAAAGCACTACCCTTTTCATGATCAAAGTGGCCCAACATAATTAACCTTCCACTAGGAAACAGGCTCATGATCCCAGGGAATGGTGTCACATCAAGGACTTAGTGTTGGTTTCTGCTGCTGGCTTACTGGGCTTTCAGCAGTGACTGCAGGCAGAGCAGCATTGGTGAGTAGAAGTCCAGGCTGCTGAGCCCATGCATAGCATGTACCCATACCATATGGTCACTTCATTCATGAGCCCTTTGGGCAATGACAGAGCTGAAGAAAAGGTAGACTGCTACCTACAGAATGGGTCATTCTAGCCACTTGATTATCTTAGTCTTTTCTGTGGAGGTCACTTTATGGTGAGCATTTACATGGGACACAAATCTTTCTATCCTTTGCCCATATGAAGATGTTTATCCATATACCTCTTCCTGCATATCTTTGTCACCAATTTTCCAGTCATGTTCTTTCCAAGGCCATTCAGCTAGACCATTTGCTACAGACCATAATGCAGTACACAGTCACATTTGGCCATTTTTCTTCCAGGCAAAATGTATGACAAGGACACTGCCCAAAGTTCTGAATACTGTGAAGATTTTCCTTCACCACTGGCCTTCAGGGATGTCCTGAGGAGGGATGTAGTGCTACAGCTGTCCATTTCTGGGTGTACCCGCATAGCATGCAGAGCCATCTGTAAGCCAGGCCCTAATCTTCTATTCCTCTGGCAGTTGTTCATATTGTACACTCCATAAGGGGCCATGATTTTCTGTTATTATAATTTGAGGTAGGTTTCTGTTCATTTGCCTTTACATTTTTCCAATTATATAAATCTAGTACAAATGTGGTAGGCTTCCTATTTATTTGACTTTTGGGAACACCGTGGTTAATCTCCCAATACCATAGGTTCACACATATCAGCCCATTCCGATCATTGCTCTGCTGCTGCTGCCCACTGCAGTAAGTACATGCACTATGCCTCTTGTGGTTGAGTGCTGCCACTTGCCTCCTGCCACTGTGGGATTCAATTGAACCCACTGCCCTCAAGTTTCCCAGTTGGGTAACCACTGTCCCTACTAAAAGGTCTGACATACAGGCAATGGCAGGGCTCTTCAGGAAACTTAATGTATTAGTGAAGAAGGTTATATTTTCTAGATCAGCTTAGTGTGAGGGATTAGATTTAACATGGCAAATCCAATCCATCATTCTCATTCCCCTGAGCCTTTGAATCCTTTCATCAACAGTCAACCAAGAAATATCAAGCATATCTCATTCACAGTGGGTCATACTTCTGTCAATTAGTTGAAGAAACTATTAACTTTTTTATATCACTCTACAGGCTGCAAAATTAAATTCAGAACCTCTGCTTGATAGGCTTATATCAATAAACTCAGCCTGATTCAGGTACATGTTTTTGTCACCATTATCCCATGCTCTTAAAATCCATCTGCTTATAAGTGCTAGAAAACTCTCATAAGTTCTTTAGGAGCATAGCAGACTTTTTCATGGCTAACACTGCATACCTCTCACCTACAGGAGCCTTCTTGAATTTGAGCCTGGTTTTAGGCCTAAAAGCAAAAGTGTGTGATGAGGGTGGGCCCAGGAGAGTGTCAGCATTGTCATGCTTGCAAACTGCAGCAGGCAACATGGGATATTTCCTCAAGTATAGAAGGAAAGGCCAACACCACACAGGTTGTGGGTGGGTATGTGGGTGGGGAAATCTCCTGGTAAAAACAATTTCATTAGGATTTAGGAGCTCAGTCTCCTTAGCCTATTCAGCATCATCCCAAACATCTCTATCCCACTTT